TAAAAAGAAGAGAGAGATTGATTTTAATGGGTGGTATTTAGTAACATTGAATAAGCTAATAAAAGCCAAAACATACATTATACCTACTGTGAGCCCGAAGCACAAGGAGGTCAGATAATTGCCTAAGGAATCACAGCTAGTAAAGGGTAGGAGCAGAGTCCAAACGCAGCCCTGGTTTTTGCGTCTGTGCTTTTAACCACTATGCAGACTGAAGGCAGAGAAGCTGCTTAGCAGCGCCTGGTAAGTTAGAAGGGCTCATAAAATGGAAACTAAACTTGTAATTTTTTTTTATGATTCCAAGCACTGGGTGCTTCTGCCTGCCTTAGGATCAATTCTATAATATTGAAAGAGGTATAGAAACAGAGGTATAAAATGGATTGTATTATCCTCTGTCAAATTTTTATTAGACTATTGGAAAACTGAAGAGAGATTCGCAAAGATCTAAGGATACAGAAAATAGAAAAAAGATGGTTTTTAAAAAGTAATTTAGCAATTATTGAATTTCTACTCTGTGTAGATCACTGTACTAAACTTACTGAATTTCCCCCTTATACAGATCACTGGGATAAAAGAAGTAAGTAATGTGAATAAGACATGAGTCCTGTCTACGAAGGCACTTAAAACCTAGTACTGGTCATAGACAGGATGCGTAACATTTAAGAGAGTGGAGGCAGAAGTGTGGACCGCGGTCTGTCGATGGGTCTGCTGTATTCAAAGTCCTGAATCACAGAGTCCCGCTGTTAGAGTAGCTGTGTGCTGTGGGCAAATCACTCGATCTCTCCAAATCTCAGCATTTTTTGTTGTTGTTGGGGTCGTGGTTGCTAGTATTTACAATGAAAATAATTCTACGTAATTCATACTGCTTAATGGGAATTAAAATAAATAATGCAAAGGAATCACTCTCTCCTTCTCGGGGAGTAAAATGTTTAGCAAACAACTGTCGAGAAATGAAGTTTGAAAAACTTGCCCGCTGGACACCTTCACTCATGCACAAGCTTGCACCCTCCTGCAGGAGGCCGTGCTGGGAGCCCTTCATATGCTGGGCCCCGGCCTTGGAGGAGAAAAGTGACGTGGGCCCCAGTTACTCCTTAGAATGTAGAGCGGGAGGGCAGAGGGCAGCGGCCCCTTCGGAGGCCAGAACAGGGTTTCTAACAGTGAATCCCTGCCACCTTTTTTGTTATGTTTTGTTTGTTTTGTTCTTTGTTGCGAAAAGAAATTCAAAATATAAAAGAGGTAGCATATATGTAGTTGCTGACTTTGTTACATGTTTAGGAGGCCTGGGGATCATGCTGTGAGCTGGATGAATCAGGGAAGGCTTCCAGGGAGCAGAAGTTGTGCAGGCAGGAGGAGAAAGCCACCTGTGAGGTGCAGGCAAGAGTGCCGGGCTGAGAGGCACCAGACCTGGGTGCAGCCTTCCTTTCTGCTTGGGACCAGGGCAGATCACTGAGGCCCCCGCGTCTCGGTTTCCACTACTATAAACCAAGGATGCTAGACTGTACCCACAATTCTCAGATCCAAATAGCTGTCACATCCCTGCAGAGAGCTTTCTATGAAGATGTCCAACCTCAGAACACCAAGGTCTTTTGAAAAGCACCCCAAGTGGTTTTAAGGGACAGTGAGGGCAGAGAAGGAATAGGAGGTCTCTTAAGTTCTGGAGACTAGGTGTCAAAGGCCACCCAGTCCAGCTGGACTAGTGGATGCCTGGATATGTTTAAACATTGGTCAGAACTGTGACAGAGGATTTTAAACTAAAGTCCATCTGTAGGCAGTAGGGGCATTGGCGAAGATGTTTATGTAAGCAAATGGGTTGAGTGCTCTAGAAAAACGAATGTTGCTTGCAGTTGTCTGTGTGTCATAAAAGGGGAAGAGAGAGGAACTGGAAACCGGCTGCAAACTAAGGGTATCAACGCAGGCGTGTTCGGAAGCAAAACCGAGTAAGGTGCGCGCCATGCTGCAATAATCTAGTAGAACTGTAGGAGTGTTGCCCCTGTTTTAATATGGGCTAATTTCCAGAGAGACGTGGGCCGTAATGTAGATGCGAAGAGGATGCTCTTCAGAAACAGGTTGAAGTGAAGCTACGTTCTCACGTGGTAACCGCGTGACCGCGTGACCAAGGAAGGTTCCATTCGGGTGAATTATCTGCTGTAGGTTTCTGTGTCAGGTCCACACCCATTTCATGAACTCCCACGGAAGGGTGAGCAAAAGAAAGACCACGGAAGAAATAGGTCTTCTATTTCCCTCTGAGTGAATATACCTATTTTTTCCTTTTCAGAAACAAAAACGACAAAATTGCCACATATTAATTTTGAGGGCTTTCGTGAAAAAGTTTTTTTAACAGCCAGTTAAAATGGCCTGTGCCTGACCCCCTCCTGTCTGGTGGCTGACTCTCAAAGGCTCTCAGGCCACTGAGAGCCATGGAGGTGCAAAGCCAGCGGAAACGGCCCGTCTGCCTGCATCCCTGCATCCCTGCATCCCTGCATCCCGCGGTGCTCACACTAAACGAAAACCTGAGATGCAGTGGCTTTCTGAAAGTGTGCCAGTCAGTCCCTTCAGAGATTCATAGAAACAGAGTTTTCATAAAGAATTCAAGTTCCCTCTACATAACTTTGATGCTAAGTTTTCCATTATGTCTCACTAATGGTCATGGACTATTTTAAGAGCTAATTAATCTCTCTGAGTTTATACATAAAAGGTTTAAGTTGCCATTTTAACTGAAAATTTGACAACCAAATTGTTGGTTTTTTTCCTGCTGATTCTGAAGAATATCCAGGCTAAATTACATCCTGAGGCACTGGATTTTCAGCCTTAATTTCCTGAATCCCTGTCTTCCTTTGGATTTGGAGGGAATTTCCAAATTAATGTTCATAAAGATTTACAAAATCCTCTGAGGAATAATCCTGCTAACCATGAAACCAATAGTAAAATTACCAGCATTACAAAAAGAAGTTTTTATTTAAAAAGATGTGTCAATCAAGAAATATTTCAAGAAATATTTTAAAGCAGAAACTCGAGAGTATGTAAACACAGTGGACCTCCACAGGATCTTACAGGCCCTCTTTAAAAATGTCTGTTGACTAAAATGAATGAATCAACATAAAAGCAGCACCAATGAGCTGTAATGCAAATGTTTTATAACCGTGCAACTTAAAAGCCACATCCCAAGGACGATCTACTTAGGGACACAAGGGTTGCGTGGAAGGGTTGCACCTCTCCACGCACAGTCCGGGCAGGACTGTGCGTGGAGAGGAGGCCAGTGGGAGTCGGCTAGACCCCGAAAAGGAGACAGCACAGACAGCCACCTTCTTTGGGAAACAGCTCACTCATAAAAGACAGTGATAAATGTTTGCTGCATTAAATAGTTAAACGCAAGGTATACACCAGAAACATGACTTTTCCCCCCCAAGGTCTTTGATAAAAGGCTATCTTCCAAGTAAAATCACCTTGTACTATGCTGCTTCTAACACTTGGAACTCGGGCATGGGAGTCAATATTAGTTTTCCCTCTGTAGATCTTTCTCCTGCAGAGACTGAAGCCTGAGGGGTTTTTGTAGCAGAAGCTACTTTCAGCCGCTTTTAATAATTCATGGAGCAATTATGCTGCAATCTCAGCATGAGTACAGATCACCTGAGAGTCTTTTTAGCATGCAGGCTGTGATTCCGTGGGTCTGTTTAGGGCCTGAGACTGTGCATCCTTCACAAGCTCCTAGGCCATGTCGATGAGACTGGTGCATAATCGCACTTCCAACAGCAAGGTCACCAGAGGTAAATAGGTAGTTAGAATGAGCAGACACGGTGTGCTACAGGAGCGCTGGCTCTTGACTCAGAAGATGGATTATGTGAGTACGATGAGTCACTTGACTTTTCTGAATCCAAATTTTCTCATCAGAGAAAATGAGTATAGTAAGACAATAATACCTGCTGCATGAGATGGTCGTAAGAATTAAATCAATAACGTTACATGAAAACTTACCAGAGCATATGGTAGACATTCATTGCTGAATAAATGATTGTTGATTCTAAATAGTAAGAATGTAAGCACACAATTCAGCACTGGTGGCTGGTAAAGATGGGGCTCCCTTGTCTGTGTGCCCGATAGTTCCAGGAGTTTTGTTCCTCATTCCACTTCTTTTGCCAGTTACAATATCTAGCACTTAGCAGATGATGAGTTTGTGGGATTGTACTAGTAGCAAAGTCGATCATTGCCATTGGCTATTTTTGGCCTCAGAGGCAGCGATATTAGGAGAATGACCCAGGGTTTCCTCATGGCACTAAGAGGAAAGGGAACTGTCACCCAATACAACGGTAATTACTCTGGGGCCTTGGATACTCTTCCAACCGGAGGCATGATCACTGGGAGAAGATTGAAATGAAAAACACAGACCCAGCCTCAAGTCTTAGTAAAAACATGATGATAAAGGAGCTGCTTGTTGTTTGCCAGGCGGTGGTCACAGTATTTTCTAATGTTATAAATTATGTGTAAAATGTGTGTCTCTCAGTCATAAAAACAAAGACTAATGTGCGCAGTCTGGCTGACTTATTGATTATGGGCGGCTCAGCCACCGCAGTAAGGGGCCCAGCTCACAGAGGGGCAGCGATTCGCCCAGGGGCTCAGGTCGTCTTCCACAGCCTAGCACCTGGCTCCCACGCCACCCAGTTGCTCACACAACTTGCCACAAAGTTGCTGCTCTGAAAGTCTAACTTTCTGGCTACCAAACTTGAAAGATAGTCAGTAAAACTCCCCAAAAGTGCATAACAGGAAGTGAAGGCAGAAAAATCAGTGAATGACCTGCAGCATCATTTATGCTTTAACATCTCTTTCCACTGAGAATTCAGAGGCCGAAACTGTTAACGCCTTGAGACAGTGTAGTTCAATTCATTTGCAGCTCATTTGCAGAGTGGATCAGTTACTCTTGGCTAACACAAATAGATCTTGAAGCCTAATCAGAGCATCAAAACAAAGTTTTATTAAAAGATGTTTTTCCCCCCTCTTGTAACCTATAGGTCCCAGGAGAAAAAAGAAGAGGCTATCACTTTACTGAAGGATTCCATTAAATATGGCCCAGAGTTTGCAGATGCTTATTCAAGCTTAGCTTCATTACTGGCTGAGCAGGTGATGGTTTCCATTTAATTTCACATAATATTTTTTTTATTTTACTGTCGAATGAATAAATTAATATGACACAGGTTTTGATACTCATGGTTTAGCTTATTAGCTCACACTGGACAACTAACCCCTATGTCAGTTTTCTTCTTAACAGAAATTACAAGCATAGTATTCTCAGTCTCGTGTTTTCTGTGTAGTGTAGGTGATCTTTAGACAAAAATGGTTCATTTCAGACCTTTGGTATATTCTCTATCACGCTGGGAAAAAATCTGTGAAGAACAACACACGGTACTTGCTGGCTTTATTACTATTTACTTATCACATTTTTCTGGGGGGGATTGTTAAAGTACTGAGATCTCTAAACTTAATACAGAACCAGTTATCAATTATCTTATAGATCCAGGGTCTTAATACCTGTTAGAAGATCACAGAGGCTTATAGGACAGGCTCCTGAGACAGTGCTTCTCTCAGCATAAAATAAAGGAGTATTTTCATTCCTCTCCTTCTTTCTACTTGTGTCTAACTGATTTGGTACTGCTTGTCAGTGTGCTGGATGCCTGCCCCCTGCTATGGGGACACAAAAGTAAGTTGTCTTCTCCAAATGGATGGTAGTTTTGTTGACATGTGTAAGTGCCCTCCATATAGTAGATTCTGCTATCATACAATTGCCAGGTTGTCTTTATTTTTTATTCTCTAGGCTCCTTTTATTTCTTTTTAAAATAATATATTGTATCGATTATGCCATTATAGTTATCCCATTTCCCCCCTTCATTTCCCTCCACACCCCCTCCCACCCATATTCCTCCTCTTTAGTTCATGTCCATGTGTCATAAATTCTTTAGCTTCTACATTTCCCACACTACTCTTGCCCTCCCATTGTCTATTTTCTGCCTGCCATCTATGCTACTTATTCTGTGTACCATTCCCCCCTCTCCTCCTCCCACTCCCCTGTTGCTGGTTAGATCCATGTGATCTCCATTTCTGTGTTTCTGCTCCTGATCTAGCTGTCTGCTTAGTTTGCTTTTGTTTTAGGTGTGGTTGTTAGTAACTGTGAGTTTGCTGTTCTTTCACTGTTCATATTTTTTATCTTATTTTTCTTAGATAAGTCTCTTTAACTTTTGATATAATAAGGGCTTGGTGATGATGAACTCCTTGAACTTTACCTTATCTGAGAAGCGCCTTATCTGCCCTTCCATTCTAAATGAAAGCCTTGCTGGATAGAGCAATCTTAGGTGTAGGTCTTTGGATTTCATGACTTGGAATACTTCTTTCCAGCCCCTTCTTGCCTGTAAGGTCTCTTGAGAAATCAGCTGACAGTCTGATGGGAACTCCTTTGTAGGTGACTGTCCCCTTATCTCTTGCTGCCTCTACAGTTTTCTTCTTCATTTTAATCTTGACTAATGCAATTATGATGTGCCTTGGTGTGTTCCTCCTTGGGTCCAACTTCTTTGGGACTCTCTGAGCTTCCTGGACTTCCTGGAAGTCTATTTCCTTTGCCAGAGTGGGGAAGTTGTCCTTTATTATTTGTTCAAATAAGTTTTCCACTTGTTGCTGTTCCTCTTCCCCTTCTGGTACCCCTATATTTGGATGTTGGAGCGTTTAAAGATGTCCTGAAGGTTCCTAAGCCTCTCCTCATTTTGTTGAATTCTTATTTCTTCATTCTTTTCTGGTTGGTTGTTTCTTCCTTCTGGTCTACTCCATTGATTTTAGTCCCAGTTTTCTTTCCATCACTATTGGTTCCCTGTTCATTTTCCTTCATTTCACTTAGTGTAGCCTTCACTTTTTCATCTAATTTGTTACCAAAATCAACCAGTTCTGTGAGCATCCTGATCAGCAGTGTTTTGAACTGTGCATCTGATAGGTTGGCTGTCTCTCGGTCGCTTAGAAGTATTGGCTCTGGGGCTGTGATCTGTTCTTTTGTTTGGGCCTTTTTTGTGTGTGTGTTGACACACCTGTTATGTATAAGGGGCGGAGCCTTAGGTGTTCACCAGGGTGGAGCAACCCAGTTGCTGGGTTGTGATGCTGTATGTGGGGGCGGGGTCCGAGACAGAACAATGGTGCTGGCTCCACTTGTATTTCAGTCCCCTCTGCTGCTTCCCACAAGCAAACTGGGCCCTTCTGGTGCTGGTTCCTGGATGGGTGGGCTTGTGTACATCCTGGGACCCTGTGGATCTCTCCTACGAACCCTCTTGTGAGCCTGGGAGTCTCTCCCGAGCACCTTGACCCCTGCAGGTTTTTTCAGTTGGTGGTTTTAGTCTTTATTTCCTGGCTCTGAGGCCCTGGGTTGCATGGTCTCTCTCACTGCCTGTTTTTGCCTGGTTTATCTGCGCATGAATATGTGACCACGGTCAGCCAATTGCCTTGCACACCTCACTGGTTTGCTCCTATTCTCCCCGTACCCAGATCCCCCAGCCACTGCTTTTTCCTGCTGTGACCCCTCTCTGCAGGCTGCTTACTCTGCCCCTCTTACCGGTCTGGATGAATGGTTGTCAGACTTCAATACAGTGCAATTTTCTGTCTGTTCTGGTTGTGTTTTTGTTTCTAAATCTTTGTTGTCATTAAATTTGGTTGTGTGAGGAGGCACAGAGTTTCCACCTATGCCTCCATCTTGGCTGGTGCCAGGTTGTCTTTAAAATCAAGCAGCACCCTTGAAAGAACAACTTTCAAGAACACCCTTGAAAGTTGCCCTGCACCACTCAGCTGGCTTAAATGTAATGGACGATTTGGTAGTGCATGTCACGTACCTAGGGGTGCATTTGAAAAACTTTGGAGGTTTCACCAGGAAACAAAATTAAGACATTCTACAGATATTTACATGTCAGAAATGGTAAGTGTAGTTGTCTCTCTCTGATAGTCTACATGTAATGTAAGTGGCTTTAGACAAAAGCCCATGTCTCTAGTGGGTGACTTTAATGCCGGTTTTAGCACAATGTTGGTGATAAAATGACGATGGTCGTGTTCTATGGTACACACTGGCAGATCTCAGCTGTCTTTGGCTTGTGCTGCAGCAAACACAGCAGGGGTTTTCTGAAGATCATTGGCTCCATCATTATTCCCTTCTCTCACCTCATTCAGCATCAGAAGACCCTCACCCTGCCAATGCTTGACTGCCTGTCTTCCAGCTACTCAGACGTGCGAAACATGCTCCTCACTCAGGGCCTTCACACAAAGTGTTCCCCTTGCATGCAACACTTTTGTCCCAGACACCTTAGTGTTTCCTTTCTCGTGTCATGCTGGGTTTAGCCCGATATCACCATATCAGAGAGGTTGTGTGTGACTTCCCTTTCTAAATATGAATCTCACACTCCCCACCATGTTCTCTGTCACTTTTCCCTGCCTTGATTTTCCCTATATCATCTCCCACCATCTCTCATACATTTATTTGCCTGTGATCCTTCTCCCACCACTAGAATACTTAACTCCATGAGAACAGCTGCCTGTTTTTATTCATGTCTATATCTCCACGCCTGTCACATTGCATGCAATCAATAAATATTGAGTAAATACATGAATCAATATGAACTGAAGGACATGGAGCACATCTCTCCAATCTGGCACACACTCTAAATTTACTCTTATGTTACAAGGAGGGCTGGGCCTGCGGGCCGCCCTGTTTTGTAACTGAGTCCTGCCTCTGCATGATGCTCTCGTCTTGCACTGAGGAATAGCCGTGTGAAATTAGTCATTCCCCCCATTGGGTCAGGGCGGGGGTGAGGCCAGCACTTCCTACATCAATCAGTGGCTTCTTTACGATGTCTCCAGGGAGAAATTTCCCTCACATTTCAGTATTAGGAAAGGCTGGGCTTTTGAATTACAAGGTTTGCATTTCATTTTTAATCTACTGCATGAAAAATCTTGCAAATCCTGGAAAGATTAAATTTATTTCCATCCCACATGAACCCCACGTCTGACTAACAGCCAGCCAATCTAGACTATACAATCTGCTTTTCTGTGAGTGCTACTTTTAATCCTGGGTTTATGATCATTTTCCTTAATAATTTATTTTTATTCCATTTCTGTTCTATATTTCTGAAAGCTGCCTCAGTGTCTTTGTGAAATAATGAGATATAAGTAACTGAATAAATAAATAAGGCATTGCATTAATAGTTCCTACTCGTATCTTTTTTTTTTTCACAGCTCACCAGGACAAATAGTAAATGTTAAATTGCTCTTCTTGGTGAAAATGACCCTTCAGATAAATGACAATATCACTTACCTAATAGTACTAGTAACACCATGGTGTGCTGTTCTGGGGAGCTCCTTACAGATACTCACACGGTTCCATCTTTCTGTAATGCCATCTTTTCTTTCTCTCCCTCCAACACCTCCCTCTTTTTCAAGATCCGAGTCAATTTCCACTTCCCTCCTCAACGTTCTTCCACCTTCCCATCTCATGCTGAGTTCAATTGTCTTGAAGCTCCTATAACTTTTTAGGAAATGCGTATCAACTAATCATATACTGTTATTTCTTAAATTAATCTCTTAACTTATAACAGTTTCATAACAGAACTATAACTTAAACAGTTTCCCAGGTTTATTTTTCTTGCTAGACTATAAGTTTTGTTAGTTTTTTTTTTAATAAATAAAAGCAATTTCTTCTTTGTATACATATTCCTTCACGAGGGCTTAGGAGAGTTTCCTGTGTGAGGCAGGCATTCAGACAGCATGTCTTAACTTCAGTCGCTTTGGGGTTCAGTTACTCCGTGCTGTGCTACTACAAGCATTTGACAGTGAATGGGGACACCTGGTCCTAGACCTCACTTCCTGGTAACCAACTGCTCAGACTTGGGTGAGTAGTACTTTACCCCTCTGGGACTCAGTTTCCAAACCTGGATATTCATAAATACTCTAAGTTATCCTCACTGTCTCTTAGGCCTCTAACACTTTAGGGTGTCTAAAATGATCTTGTTTAACATCAACTACATGCTAATGAATATTTAATGAATAGCTTAAGGCTCCAATGTAATTAGTGCTATTGTTTCTATACAAATAAAAGTTTTAATATG